CGTGCACTCAGCAGGCCCAGGTTAAGGAAATTGGATGAAATCTTTACAAGAGAAGTGAGGGGACAAGGACAAACGACGGAGGAGGTGCAAAGTGAACTGTTCCCTCTGTGGGGGGGAGGGGAGTGGGGCAGTGGGGGGGAGGGGAATCCACTCCAGAGACAGAGGGAACAGTTAAGCAAAAAAATAAGGAAAGATAGAAGGTATTATGGGAGGAGAGAGAACAGGAAAAAAAGAGAGGTCAGAGGTAATAAGAGAGGAGTAATGATTTTAGAGCCGTGGTGGGGAGTTAGGAAAGAGAAACAGGAAGAGGAGAGGGAGCACGGCAGAATCCAGTTACAGGACCCTCCTGCAAGTCCTCTGTTGTTGAAGTCAAGAACACAGCCGCACTGGGTAACGGGGCTTGTTTGAGCCCTGCTGGGCTTCCCAGACATCGTGGGCAGTGGTATGCGTTCCATACGTATCCATACGCATGTGGAGAAGGGCATAGACACACACACACACACACACACACACACACACACACACACACACACACACACACACACACGGACAGTGCTGAATGGGCTTTCACTGGATCAATCATATGGCTCCAAATGTCATTCTTGCTCCTCTAAGGAACAGCTGCTTCCTCTGCCTGCTCAGCTAAGTTCCCAGTCACAGAGTTCATTTGTTTAGATCACAGCAGTCAACTAGTCCTGCTCCCCTACCCTACCATGCCCTTAAAACTCTGCCTTGCACATGTCTCATAGTCCCTTTTTATAAACGACATCTGCTGCTGAAGGCTCTCCGGTCTTATCTCCCCGCTGCTGTCCTTTTTTAACCCTTGTTCCTGTCTGCCAGTCTGTTCCCTATTCCCCTATCTGAAAGGCCCTCTATTCGTTCAACCCGGTTTTCAAGGCCAGCTCATGGTCATGCCCCTCCAGGATGCCTTCTCAGTGCTTCATGTCAGAGTGACATCTCTTCCTCATCCTTTCCTCGAGAGTTCATCTGTCAGGCTTTGTGCCTACTACCCACCAACACAAACCACCTTCTTCTGGTCTCCTTGTAGGCTCCCCACTGGGAGGAAAGGAAGGACTCACATCTCAGGCGATGCTAACACTTCACTCTGATGTAGGCAGTTCAAGCAGAACTACCTAAACTTAATTCATCACAGTTCCCCCAACCTACAGGAGGCCTCCCTGAGGCCCTTCATGTCAGAGAAGTGTAGTAAGACCAGCTAAGCTAGAATGGGGCAAGTGAGGCAGGTTTCAGCAAAGGTTGAGAGAACCACGGGAGGAGGACTAATCTAGGAGTTTCGAGGGGGAGGAGGTGGGTACACTGCTCTGGGGAGATATCAGAATTCGGAAGGAAAGGAGAAAGAGTACACAAACCCAAAAGGACCATGGATTTAAAAAATACTTAAGAGACCTATCTAGACTGGATTCTAAAGCTGGATCTCCTGAACGCAGAGGAGGTCACTGTGCCTGCTTCTGACCACCAGAGGGCACTGTCAGGCCCGCAGGACAGGGTTTCTGTGGACCTCTTGCTGCACTGATAGCGATTCAATGAATGTCCCAAGTACCAGGGAAGCCACAAACTCCAGACAACACTATTTCATTCCATATTCAAGCCCAGTTCCACTCTAGGGGTTGTTACACACACACACACACACGAACACGCACACACCTGCACCCAAATCCCTAAAATATCAACTGGGATTTTTTTTTTAATAGCAAAAACATGTACTTAGTTTGCCTCTAATTGAGGCAGGAATGTTCTTTTTAAACGATTCTATCAGAAATAGCTGTATCCGTTCCACACATATTTTATTAAGCCTGTTTTGAGCATGACACTATGCCAAGTGCAGATGCAGAACACTCTCATCCTCAAGAGCCTATAAAGCACCTGTACGAATGTTCCTCGTCCCTGTCCCTACCCTTTCCCGATGTCCCTTATCTCCTGGCTGGCTGTGCCACTCCCCTTACCAAGGTCTCCTCCCCAGATTCCACCCCAGACCCCACCTGCTGCCTCACTGAGGACAGCAGCCCCCACCCCTCACCACCTTTACACCATCTGAAAGAGCTGTTACTATATTCTGTGTATCGCTCACAGGAAAATCAACTGACCAACTGTTGCGGAGACATCTTCCTCAGAGTTAAGGTCCGGCTCTGTGACGTGGGGCTAAGAGTCATAATTAAAACAATAAAACGCTGGTTTTCATCTACCAGACAAAAAATGATGATTCCACACTCTTCGGAATCTACCCTCAGGAGGGAATCAAAGCAAACATAGTCATTGTGACCTGACTAAAAACAGGGCGAAATATTTTAAATGCCCTAAATATCCAATAAGAAAAGTGTATGTTGTGACACATTCATTCCAAGGAATATTGTGTAGGACCTTGCACACAGTACTTGTCTGATAAATATTTCTGACTAATTTTTAATGTTTTCAAAGAATGGTAGTGATGTAGGGATGTTTCTTAAAATGCTGCATAAAAAAGAATATTGAATGGTGAATATGGTATCATGAGCCTTGCAAATGTGTTTATTTTAAAAACACAGGAAGAAAGTATTTAAAATCTACAAAACTAAATTATGATCATTTCTGAGAAATGCAGTTTGGGTGGATGACTTTTAGTTTCTTCATTAAGGTTGTCAAACATGGTCCATCATCAGAATGGACAAGGATCCAGTTCATCCCCCAGGTCCTTACCACGGGGCAGGCCTCGCAAGTGGTCTTCCTGCACTCCAGCTTGAATCCAGAGATGGTCCCCACCTGGACGGTGCAGTGGCAAGTCGTGCACACATCAATCATCAGACTCTTCCCAGGCTGGAACCAGAGGCGCCATGGTCAGGCTTCTCAGCACCCCAACCCCTGACTTTCCCACTCACCTCAGCCCCATAAGCTGTCTGCCTCATGAGTGGGGGCCCAGCCTCCCATAGCTGCCCTGAGCCAGTGGCCCACTCCCTTCCCCACCTTCCCACCTCAAGTATGCCAGAGAGGGAGCTGGGGCAGTGGGAGAGAGCGACAGGTGGAAATGTGCACGACGACTTCAGAGCCCTTCCCTGCAGGAGAAATGCTCATGTGCGTGGGGTGGGCCAGGAGGTGAGTGCGGGACAGGAGGCCCAGGCACTAGAGCTGGGAAGCCAATCCAGCCTAACTAAGCTCCAGGAGGAAGCCCTGGGAAGCCCTGGAGGCAGCAGAAAGTGTGTTGGGGGTAGGTCTCCCCAGTTCATTTCATTTCCACATTAGAACGACCGAGTGGCCCACCCTTCTCAGAGCACCCCAACCCTCGCCCTCAACTCGCCCTAGAGAAGAAGGCAGCAGCTCACCCCAATGATGGTGCCATTGAGTATGCAGGCGTCCACGGGTTCTGGGGAGAGAGAAGCACAGGCATGAGCGTCCAAACCCCGCATGCAGCCGATCACTCAGGGCCTTCCCCTGCGGTCTGGGCCTCTCTCCCACATCCGCTGGTCCTCTCCCCACCCCACCCCAGGATCCTGTGGGTCCTACTGCCAGAGCCCACGGTGGCCTCACTTCCCTCAGGCCTGCAGGGAAGGGCAGGCTGCCTGTTTCCACCCAGCCCTCAGTGAAAAGACCCCTGTGTATCCTCAGAAGGGTTGGTGTTTAAGTGGTTCACACTTCACTGGTGAGTGGGAGGATGTTTAAGTTTATGAAAGAATGATATTCTACTCTGGGAACTTGAAGGCCCAAGGTAAAAATCACACAAAGAATTCAAGCAGGTGGTGGAGAGTTTGTTGTTGCTGTTTGTTTGTTTGTTTGTTTGCTGGCGGGGTTAGGGGTGGGAGGTTAGAATGCCTTTCCCGAGAACACAGCAAATGATAGAGAAGGCGGTCCCTAGACTCAGAGAAGCCTGGTCTACGGCTCTCTAACTCACATGGGCCAGTGGAGGTAGTAGCAGTACCACCTCACAGGGCTGTCACGAGGGTGACACAGAGAGTGGTATAAAGCCATCACTGAGCACGGTGATGACCTTTGGGCAATGAATGAGAGAAATATAACAATTTCTTGAAGGTCATCACAAAAGCATTGGAATGGATGGGAAGATTTTAATCCTGCCCATTTCCCTGGGTCGCTAAAAAGGGAACTAATTCCGGAGCCCCTAGTGGAAAGAGAGGCTCCAAGGTGGGCCCCTGGATGGCGTGCCTTACCGCAGTGACAGGTGGGACAACACTCCGAGGTCTTACAGCTCAGTTGGAAGCCCGTGGGGCAGGTGGGGACATCCAGCTGAGGGCAGGAGACGTTCCTCTGTTGCACGAAGACCTCCTGCTTCACGCGGACACACTCATTGATGAGGCAGGGTTTCCCTGGGACGGCCCAGTGGGAGCCAACCTGGAGTCAGGACACCAGAGTCGGGCAAGGCCAGGGCCACGTCCCAGTGGGACGCGCACTGTTCCCTCAGGGAGCTGGTTTGGGCCCTGGAAGTGAGCCCCAGCTTCCTGTCGAAGCCCCACTCACAGGGTAAGGCTCACAGAGGGCATGAACTGGCTCATTCCAGGTAGTGCAGTGAGTCTGGGTCAAAGTCACCCTGACCAAGATCATAGCTCATAGCCATCTGTTCTCCCACAGACACAGGTTTCGCCACCTGAGTAAGCACCTGAGGGGAGCCTGGGGTGCTCCCTTCCCCACCTAGCACTGGCTGGAAGCTGAGCTCAGAGACGCCAGGGCACTCACACTGCGAAGCAGAAGCACAGGCTGACACAAAGGAGATAAGGAATAAACCCCAACCCACGGCCCGCCAAGAGATACTTCCCACTAGTATGGGAAGACAGCAAGAGACTGGGGTGCTGATGTTTGACCCCTCAGCCCTGCAACCAGTCCCTGAGCTGTGCATAGGTGGCCTGACCCCAAGAGTTGGCTCCAGGGGCAAAGAACACTGAGCGTGTCCAGAGCATGACTCAGAAAAGCCACGGCGAAGGTTCTGCCTGGAGGTTCGTCTGTGTGCGCCAGCGTCCAGATGCATCAGTGGGTGCCCTCCCCCGCCCTCAGGGTTCAACCTGCTTCTCTCAGCTCCCGCTCACTTTCTTCTCTTTCCAGATGAGAAGCAGAAAGTGCTAGACCCTTGTAATCACTCTCTTCACCCCAACTTCTGACTCACCCTGACCAAACGTTCCCAGGGCAGGCCTGGCCCCGAAGTCCAGACCTCTCCCCTCTGGTTATTTACCTGCTGAGCCTTAGCCATGGGCTATGTCAAGAGGACCCATCCCCACTCACCCTCGCTGGTCCCTGACATACTCCCAGCAGCAGCAGCAGAGCCATTGCTGATACCCAAGTCTCAAAGGTAAGATGCAGATTTGAACTGGGGGAGAGAAACTCAGGTCCCCTGACATTTTATAGTCACTGATGTGGATCCGAAGGAAAATGAGGGGCTGGGAGTGGTGGGAGGGGGGCAGGAAAACTGAACCCCAAAGGGATCAGCTGTCAACCCCCATCAGGATGGAAACAGCCTCTAATCTGAGCTGGATCCTGGCCCTGGAGAGGAGGGGTAAAACCTGCCCGATTCCAGGATGGACGGGGAGCAGAACAAATGAAAGGGTGGGGGAGGGACACGGGGCAGGAAAATCCATAGGTAACTTGGATCAGAAGTGGGAGGTGGAAACCCATGAGGAGAAACTCAATGAGCCATTCTGCTGTCACTGAGCAGGAGCAAGGTGACGGGCCTGGGCAGGAGATGGACAGGTTCAGGGCAAGACGGTTAACCCTGTGCCTTCCTTTCTAAACAAAGTGTGTTTGGGTCTTACTGGAAGAACACAGAAGCGGGAGGCCCAGAGGTGCACCTTACAGCACCTGCCTTCTGAGGCTTCCGGTGCCCAGAACTCCCCGCTTCAACCTCATGAATCAGAGTGAAAGAACTGCTACCATCCTGGCCTCTGGACTAAAATCCCCCAGGACAGAATCCCATATGTCTCAGAAGAGGGCTTGAGAAGCATCCAAAGTGAGAGCCCGAGGGCCACACAGGAGATGGCTGACTGCTCTGCTTTAGGAGAACGAATTTGGCTGGGGTTGGGGCTAGGCAGAGAAGACAAGTGTGGGGAGACAAGGGGCTAGCAACATGGCAAGACGCTGCAGTCAGAGTTGCAGAAATAGCCCGGGGACTTGGGGAACAGAAATATTGTTTGCTTCTCTGGGATACAAATTTCCCTGATGGGAATCAGTGATGAGGTCAGACGACCCCGACGGGGCTGATGTGGTACAGAATGGCACTTGCCGCCTGTGGAGTCTGGCAGCGTGGCAGGCCCACAGCACACGCAGGGTGGTCAGGCCATTGCTGTACCAGCTGTACCAGCTGCTCAGGGAAGCAGGACCCCAGATTCACAGGAAAGCTGGAGCACATAAATCCCTCAGTTCACAGAGTTCTCAGGGAGGGAACTGGGCTTCTCCCAAAATCCACAAGCCAGGAAGCCCAGCTGACTTTCAGATAACACTGGATTAACCAACCCCCTGCGGGGAAAGCAAAGGGCAGGGGATGAGCTCTGATTTTACAGATGAAACCGAGGCCAGCACTGGACCACAGAATGGACAGCCAGGCTCATAAGGTCATTGCCCTCCTTCCCAGCCTGGAGCCCAGACCTACGTTCTTCAAGTAAGACTGGGAGTCCCCCCGTGGTGAGCCGATCAGCACCTCACAGGCAGATGGCAGGCACCTTCCACAGCACTCGCCTTCATGGAGGACATAAGTGAAGCCCTGAAAAAACACAAAGAACAGAGTGAGGCAGGCCAGCAGCAGAGACACAGGTGTGCTTATCTGCTCCATAGGTGTACTGAGCCCTGGGGTTTTGCAGAGAGACAGCTGGACTGAACATTTGCATCTCTGTCATCCGTCATTCTCAGGATCATGCTAAGAAGTACCCAGGGAGCATCAACCATTGAGTCACTAAGTGAGGTCTTAACACCAGCTGAAGAGACAACCCTGCCCTCTGAAAGCTTCCACTTTGAGATTAAAAATCCAGCCCATGGGACTATTAAAGACAACGAAGAGTTCACTCAGCAGCAGCTAGCTGACGTGATCTTCATCACGGCCAAATCCAGGGCACCTCACTGACTGGAGGGAAACATTCAAGATGCCTGGGATCCAGTCTCAGCGCTAACAAGGCTAACTGTCTGTAGGAGATGAGCACCTTGGTCCCCAGACCTCCCACCAATACACGAAATTGGGTTTTCCCGGGTAGTTACTTGACATTTACCCAGCAGTTTATGGGGCACAACGAAATGAGAGAACAACAGAGAACCACCTTCTCCAGAAAGCTTGCCAGAGAGACCAGCATCCTGAAAGTCTGCCAGCCCATCTTGCCTCTTGGAGGTCCTCTTGGAGGTCTTCCAAAGTTTTAGGAATTTGCGTTGGAATCCTCCACTGAAAACTCTGACGCAATGTACAAAGAATAGGCAAAACCATGACGAGTGTGATTGCGCCAAGAGCCAACAGGAGAGAACCCAGAACTGGGCTTCATCTTGAAGCTCCGTCCCTAAGAGAAAAGGAACGCCTGCAGCTGTTCAGGATGGGTGAGGATGCCAAGCCTGCTCTGCTCCCCGAGCACACTCACACGCAGGCACAAGTCGGAATATGCACATAACACTGGTGCCCCTCTCTGGGGGAATGTGAGCACTCCAGAGACTTGGCTCAACTTTACATCACCTCCATGGGACCTACTTACGTCCCAACCCACGTCACAATGATACCCAGTGAGCTGTCCCTAGTCTTTTATCAGCTAAGATTCTAGTCATTTATTTGCATCTCTGTTGTACTAGGAACTTTGGAGGAGCCAACAAATTAAGATGATACTATCTAGACACCCTCTAATATAAGGCAAAGTGCCATGAAAGAAACAAAGACTCAGGGAGCAAAGAAGAGTCATCGATACCTTTATGGACCCAGCATCGCTCTTGTGCACCTCTCTCAGAGTGCTGGGTGACCTGGATGTGGGTATTCTTCATGTTTTCAGCTGCCTCAGCCATGGGCAAATACACTGTCGCTATCGTGGATGACTCCCAGGACAGATGCTTTGTTCCCAAAACCCCACCAACCTCTCACGCTCAGGTCCCCCTAGCCATGCCTCTAAATTTCCCGGCTGCTGTCTTTCTAAGATCCCTCTCCACCTTCAGCATCCCCCATTTTCTTGCTGCACAACCGGGGTTCATTCTATATTTTAATCTCTCTTTTCCTGTACCCCTCCAAATCATCAAGCTTATATCTGTTCAAAATACACATCACAGACCCTTCTCCTGATACAATAGCCTCTAGACAGCCACGTTTCTACCATACGGCCTGCGCCTTGCACAACAGTTGACTGGACCAGAGTGGGAACTGAACAGAGGATTCAATCCATAGGCTGAACTGAGCCCATCAATTTTCTTCTTGAGAAGTTTATCTATCAACACAAAGACCGAACGAGTCACATTGGACGGGGATTAACCCTGGATCTAAAAAGTCATGTTGAGTTGAAGCCAGATTCAATAAAGCCATGTACAAATGAAACTGATGGGAAAGCAAAACTTCTCCCCAGAGGAAGGTGACCTGCAATGAGGAGCTAGAGAAGATAGGCACTGAGAAGCATGGACATGGGGACTCGGTACAAACGGAGAGAAATGCTGTATAACCAGTTATATATCTTGCACTTTATTTTTGAGAGTTCTATTTCAGCTAGCTTGAGTAGATTGTACACTTTGCAATCAAAACCCTCTACTGAAACACAAAATATATTTAGTGCCAATTTTATAAAAATGACCTCTAAACAGCTATCTCTTTACTTTATAGTGAGTTATTTCCATTGCCTCCCACGGCCTATGGGAGGAGATAGAGACCAACAGGTTTCCAAAACCTAGCATTCCCAAAAGATACACCTAGATACCACAGCATCATCCTCTCCTGAAGTTGCCTAGCAACTCCACTCCTCCTCAGTACCAGCATTGCACGGAGGCAGCAGATGAACTGAATAGATTCCTCATTTCTGGATTTTCTTTCATGGCACTTTGCCTTATATTAGAGGGTGTCTAGATAGTATCATCTTTCCATCATCCAACCATATATTCCCAAAACAGTATCAAGAGCACTATCTTCTCTGCTGTTAACATGTACAAAAGCAACCATGAAGTGTACGAAGTGTATGTAGTTGTCTACGCTTCTTTTATCATCATTACCTATTGATGATACTGCATTAGTAATAATAATAGCATTAAACCAACTAGCAGAATTTGACCCACAATTCTCCCTGCACAGTATTGCTCCCTTTTTATAGGGTCTGATCAGTCTTAAATGTGCGAGAATAGAGTCCCCATAGGAGCCTTAGGGGCAGGCCACCAAGAGAAGAATTCAAAACTGAATTAGAGAACAGTAATCATGTTTTCTATACTTCAAATTATAAACAATCTATGTAAAAACACTATAAGACATTGAAACTGGAACAATCTCAAAATTCAGAACATATATCTGTTCTAGGGATGGGCTAAGGTGATGTCTAAAAAGAGAAGAGATAGGAAAAAAATCAAGTCCTCTTTTCTAGGCATTTAATCCACATCTCTGCTCAAACCAACTCCACAGTCCTGTAGACTCAAGACCACACAATAGGTATGGCCATTAGCCAAGGACTGAATTCCAGAAGGATAACATTGCCACCCTTTCCTCGTGCTTCTTTTATGCAGCCCCCTGGCTCTCTTTCCCCCTCACCATAGCCTTGAACCAGAGGTTACTAACGGGGCTTTCCTGCCCCTTCCTGGGACACCCTCCCGTACTGCCCTACCCTGACTGCTCCACATGGTGCCCAGCCCCACTGCGCCCCTTACCGATTGGCAGCTTTCTTCGCAGAGCTTCTGAGAACACTGGGCTACACGCAGGCCCATCACTGCATCCTCCATGTCAGTGCACGTGCACGCATCGCAGCCCTCCTCCCAGAACTGGCCCACAGGGTAGACGGTGCCTCGGTGGACGCAAACCTGCAGACACAAGGTTTCCGTGAGTGAACTCGTTCAGTTCACCTAAACAAGAAGTTAGAAACATCTCCTATGTGTTGGAAGCTTCTCTAGGTGTTGAGAATACAGCCATAAATAAAACCAACATCGTCTCTGCCCACATTGTTCATGGGCAGGATGCTCCTGAAGTAAATTTTCCCTTCTTCCCTCCTCTGCCCACCAGTCTTAGAAAAGCCATCTCCCATCTACCCTGAGAGTGGCCTTTTGTTGAGCCCAGATACAACACCCTGGCTGCCTTGACCTGGTTTCATCACTGTCTTAACTGCATTTAACTCCTTCCTATGTCACACAGAATGCGATACTCTAATTCTCAGACCCAGTAATGTCCTGGAACTTAAAATGTATCCACATATAGACTTCTATCCCATGAGGAGTGGTCTGAAGATGAGGGAGGAGTTATGAATGGGTGTTCCTTTGAGACCCACAAATGACAAGGAACATAAGAAGCAAAGACTCTGAAGCACAGAGTATGGAATATGTTTGAGAGACAAGGGATCCTATTGAAAAAAACTATAGGGTATGGAAGGGATGTGTGAAATAAGATTACAAAGACTGGTTTGGATCAGAATGTATAAAGCCTGGGATGTAATATTTTGCAGGAATGAAGTGCTGAGGAAGTTGTTTGATCAAGAGACAATGACAGTTTTGAAATTAATCCCAAATCTGACCTCCAAAGCTACAAGCAGTTCTCCACCCTCATTCACATAATAGCAGTACAAATGTTTTTAAATGATTATTATATATCTGCTTATGTTCTGATTTCTGTATAACAACTCATTGAATAAGAACCCTTGTTCTTCTGTTGAGAAGCCTGTTAGAAAATAATACCACCCCTGTGGAGAATTTAGCAATATCTAGCAATATCTATTTTCATAGATATTTAGCATGCTAGATATTTAGCAATATCTAGTATGTGTGTATTTACCATTTGACCCAGGCTACTTGTTATAGCATTATTAGTAAAGCAAAAGATTGAAGAAACTCAAATGTCCAAGAAAAGGGGACTTGTTTAATAAGCTACGGCACATTCATGCAATGGAAACTATGCGGTTATAAAAAGGGATAAGGTAGATCTCTATCTACCAACACAGAATAATTCTATCATATATTGTTAAATGGAAAAAGAAAAATTCATAACAATTTATAATATGTTGCAACAAAAATATATTTGCTCATATTTTCAAAAAGAAAAAATGAAGGATATACCAAAAACTAATAAAAATTATAAATTAAAGGGGAGAGAGAAGAAACAAGGTAGAAGAAATGGTATAAAAGTGAGACTTCTGGAAATGCATCTTGGGTTTTAGAAACATTTATATGTTTTACATAAGAAACATTAAATCAAAAAGGAAATAAAAAGTAAAAATGGAAAACAAATTGAAATATCTGATTAACTTCAGTGGCACAATCACACAGAAAAAATAATTATTTCAAATTACTTTAAAAACCCAGTATTTTGACCATGTACCCCAATGGGTTATTTTTTTTTCTTTTTAGGTCAAGGGGTAATGCAATGAAATCTTAAACCTCGCTCAATAATCTTAAGTTACTGGTATTAATATTGGCACTGTTATTTTGGAAACTATTTTAAGCATATTGTAAGGTTAATCAAATAAGTTATTATGTTAATGACATTAGGAAACCAAAATTTTCAACTTAGAAGTGATATAAGTATAAATTAAAGAAGTGAAACTCAATAATCAAATTTGAACCAGACATATCACTATGAACTTAGGAGTTTTTATCTTCTTTAAAAATATGTGTTTCCAAACTCTGTTCACCAAAAAGGTCTAGAGGCAATGATGACCCACAAGCAATAAACATTCTTAATACCTAGATCACAGTGTCTAAATAATATTTCACTCAGAGGTACCAGGACTCTGTAGAAATGTCCGAGAGGGACGTGGAACACTTGTTTCGGAAAGCAAGAAAGCAATCAACAGGTATGAGGCCATGTCAGAGGGCCCCAGAACCAACTTGAAGGGGCTCTCGTTTTGAGTATTAAGTCAATGTTATGATGAATCAAAACATATCAAATACATAAGCATCCACGAGTTCATAATGATACTAAAACCCAAAAATCTCTTTGGTTACCACCAACTCATTGCTTTGAAAATTGGTAAATGAAAAGAATCAAGCATTTATCTTGCCATTCTTAAGGTAATCCTATTTCAGGGTAACCAAGTGCAGTTGGGGGAAAGTTCTTATAGAAGAATCCCAGCTAGTAAATGCACAAGAATGACTGAAGTAGAGAAATGTCACCATTTTGCAACTCTCAATGACAATGAATCTTAAGCAACAAAATATCAATGAATATTAAAACTATTAGTTAAACGGTTGATGGGGTATACTTCGTGAGGGAGAAATAGCTTGACACCACTTGAACCCAGTAATCAGTCCTACCTGTGGAGCAGGGTGGTGGGGACAACTGAACATGAAATGCCTCATGGAATAAGGCAACAAGAAGCTCACAGCATCCCCAACACTGTATTCCTGCCCCCTAAAATTAAACTTAAATGTCATGAATCCTTTAGATCTAACCTCTACCTTACCAGAAATGCAGGGGATAGGGAACACACTAAGCAATACTGTAAGAAAACTATCAGCCAAATCCAGAATGCATGGCACTCTATAGGACGAATGACCTAGTTACTTCAACAAATCAAAGGCATAAAAAATGGATGTGGTCTGCTATCGATTACAAAGACAAAAGGAACTTTAATAGACGAAGGGCAAGTTTGGGGGAGGAGGATGAAAAGGAGACAGAACAGAGATACAAGCAGCAGCAACTGCTGCCTCCTAGACATGCGCCCACTTCTCTAGAACCTGGGGCTTAGACAACATGAGCTGCAGAGGGGTCTGGAGCAGAGGTCTGGAGCATTCCAGGCAAATGGGTGTCTGCACTAGCTCTGGCAAGCCCTGGGAAAGATCAGTGCAGTTTCTCTTTGGCGTTCATTCCCAGACTCACCCTCAATAATCCGGTAGCTACAACAATGCTCAGGTCTTCCTGCTATGGTTCTGGTTCATGATGGCTCATCTTGGTGGATCTCTCCCCTATGACTGCTATTTGAGCTTAACATATATACCAAAATTGACACTTTATTGTATTCAGTGTATAGATTATTGTCTTACATATACTAGCAAGATTGTAAATAGACTGCATCTTGCATTTCTCCCATTGCACCCAACACAGTACCAGTTCTGGTAGAACATGGTAGTTTCTTGGTAAATATCGGACGAATGGAGGGATGGATCGATGGATAGCAATTAACAAATGAGTATCGACTAGCCTCTAAATAATTCATTTTATCATATTATTTCCTTAACTAACCTACAAATAAGCTCATTAACAGGAGGGACCATACATTGTACCTTGTTTGAACTTACATCTTGTTTGTAACCTCAGCACCTAGCCATGCTGAGTACATAGTAGGGTCTCTATAAATACCTCCTGAGCTAACTAAATTTCCATTAGACTGAGATGGGATGCTAACTGTTCACCCACCAAGCCATATAGCACACAGTTTGGGGAGGAAGGCACATCTTCCATGAGGAGCAGATGTTTGGCCATCGTCCCAGCCACAGCTGAGCAGCTCCTACCTTGTCAGGGAGGCAGGTGGTCGTGGTGCAGCCGCAGTCATTGGTGATAGCTGAGGTCAGATACCCCAGTGGGCAGCTCACCGTGGAGTTAACACAGTTGCAAGCACACTCATATTCATCACAGCACGGGGTCTTCCGAAGAATGGGCGTCCGGTGTGGGGGGCAGGTGGGTGGGGACTCTCTTTTGCATTCCTCCTTCCTGCAGGCTGAGGGGCAGCATGAGGTGACACTTGTGTCCTGCCACATTGAGTACTGCACTTAGCCAGGGTCTGTAAGTATTCAGTTATTATATAAGGACCCAGAGTACTCCAGACCCAGAATATTAAATCAGAACTACACGTGAGCCCAGCTCAGGGGCTGCAGGATATTCAATCATACCAAACAGCAGTTAGTCTGCAGAAAAATAAGAACATTAATCAAAAAAAGAAATGCGAAGCTAGGAATTTTAATGGAGAAGTGAAGGCTGCTTGGTGCCCATTTTATCACTTTCCCAGGCACATCTGGTAGAAGTAGGGCCCTTCTAGCTATTGATTCTCAGAGACAGCAGATGGAGAATCTCTAATATCAAGACAGGCCTGGGCACACCATGAGCTGGTAGGCATTTTTATATGTTGATAGCTTATGTGATCCTATCTCCAACTCAGTACCTAGAACAATACCCTGCAGTTTTAGGTCATCCAACAAGGTGGAATGAAATAATGACAGCAATCAGTCAAATCCACAATGTCATTTTACGAATGCCTAATCCCATCCTGTATCCTTTGTCTATTCACAACCTCCTTCAAATACAGTATTCTCTTCCCACCCTCAAGGTCTTACACCTAGGAACTCAAGTGAGATTCTAAATCAGTAAGACAAGAACTCTACTTGGCTTAAAGTGGGTATCCTCAGTAGCTAAATACAGAATTCGGTTTCTTGACATGTCTTACTTTAGTCCAATCCTATGCTTAAATTATAGTGTTTAGAAATTAAATATATAAACATACGGATGGGTGAAAAACTATAAATCTGTTTGGGAATAAGAGCCAGTGATGAGGACAAACCAAGGGAATGTTCCTTCCTCTCAATGGTGTATAGGAGAATGGGACAAAATAAAGATTGGATCCGCAGGCTTCTTTATCTCAGATCTGCCTTGTAATACAGTCCAAGAGGGAAGCTCCTGGTACACTTTCAGCAGCAAGCAGCTGGGAGGATTCTTAGAGGATTTAATCAAGGTGTGCTTAACTCCTCTGTTCCAGACGTACCCCAACCCCAGATTCAGCTAAGCAGCATACAGGACACCTTCTCCAGGCCAAGAAAGAGTGGCTGCACCACCCCCTCCTCAACCACAGAGGCTTTACCGCAGGTGAAGTTGGGTCTGCACTCGCCGGGATTGGTCAGTATTGGCTGGAGACCTCCTGCACAGTGAGGCACCGGGGGCAGGTCACAGCTCACCAGGTCACACACTGAGGGCCAGCAGAGAGAGAGACGTCCACTCAGAGTTCAGCAAGATTACTTTTGTATTACATGTGAGTGGCACCCTACATTCCCATTCGTGCAGATTTCTACTCATTTAGGGAGATGGGGATGATGAGACAGAGATACAGATAGAGGTGGAGGTAGAGGGGAGGGGAAGAGGTAGATGATAGGTACAGAGAGAGAGACAGACAGACAGAGACAGGACGGGGGGAGGAGGGCTGAGAGATTGATCCGAGTCATAGGATAGGCTCATATTGATTACTCTTATCATCTGCTAGGACGTCCAAATCACTGCCATGTCACCTGAACCTCTAGACCTCAATTCTATCTTCTGCAAGGTGGAAACTCTGCCTCACAGAGTCGGTCTAAGGATGTCATGAAATAATGAAGGCAATGTGCCTGGCACATTGTAGAAGCTTAATAATGTCTACAAAATGAGGGGCTTGAACTAAATGATCCCCCAGTCCTCTCTGCTGTTAAGGTTCTCAGACCAATCTTACACAAGCTGATCTCAAGTCGGATCTCCTGCCCCACCGGACTTCTGTTAAACCCTAATAAATTTCGTCAGCATAAATAAGTTTCTTAAGTTAATTTTTTTTTAGACCCTTAAACTATCCCTTGATCTATGTGTTTTCCTGCAAAGATCTGAACCACCACAGTTTTACGAGCGTGGTTTTTGTCTTCACCACACAATTAATAAACACTAGACAGGACAGGGACAGGGTGGCAGAGATTTCCTGTCATGGTAACCATCATTCCATCAGCTCTGGATTCATTTAATTATACCATTATTCAGCCCATTACTCACTACGCAGTTTGCAAGCCTATGATGAAATTCTTTGACAAATAACTTGCTAAAATCAAACTGCCCTGTGTGTGGCTTCTCTCAGTCTAGTATCCTCGGGAAGGAAAAGGACAATGGACTTTGACATAACTTTCTCTCCAGTAAGTCTTCGTGCCCCTCCCTCCACCAGCAATTACCCCATTCTTTTTTTTTTTTTTTAATGCTTTCAAACCTGACATTTAATGATTCACTGCAGAATTTCACTAAGAAGCAAATTCTATTTTCTAGAGGTTAGTCTTTCCATCTTGTGGGAAATCCAGTCGGCCCGTTCCCATCTCCTTTCACACACCCTGTGCCTTGCAGCTCCCATCGTTCACCTGCGGATGGACTGGGGTTTGAGCCCGGGAGAAATGGCCAAGGTGGGAAACATACCACACTCATACTCTGGGCAGCACTGGTCTGCATTCTGGTGAAGGCGGGCCACTTCGCAAGGGCCACATGTGGGAGCTGGAGGAGAAGAACGACGTAGGAGTCAGAGAAATAAATAATGGTACAGCTTGGAGCAGGATTTAAAATGCTGCAGACTCTCATCCACTGAACCCAGCATAGGCTCTGTGCAGAAAGCCAAGAAGTATGAAGCCATGGGACCGCTGACGAATGAGTCTCCCCCAGTGTGCCCTGTTGACCCCTTGAATGTGCCCTCCAGGGGACTCTGAGTCAGAGGACCGAAGTGGGACAGGGTTAACCTCTGAGAGCAGCTACTCCAGGTGCAGAATCGGGAGCCCAACCAGAGAGAAAGAGAGAAGGGTGGGCTGGCCCGAGAAATGCAGGCAGGGCCAAGAAAATGCGCCTTTGAATCTGGTGGCTACTGGGCCTCAAGTGACCCCCTTCTTCCTCCAGGAGCACCAGGGAAGGGTGAACTCACCTCTGGCCGTGGGGCAGGGGTGTGACGTGCAGTTGACCTTCCGCCCTGTGAGGCACGTGCAGATCTGGCAGGGCTGGTGGTCAGGAATCCAGGTTTCTAGTAACTGAGGGAAAGTGAGGTTCAGAGGGGGCCCAGGACACTCGGGCACAAAACTCTGGATGGAGTACGTGGAAGTCAGTTCCCCACCCTGGCTGGACCTCCCCTGAGCCACGCCTCTTTCAGACCCAAGTTGAAAGGCCGTGTCAGGTTCTCAGAGGAAAGTCAGGGGCATTCGGAAAGGCGGCCCATTTGCTTTGTAAACTCAGGGGAAAGACAAACTACAAATTTTAGAAAATGTGAGCGCTTTCACTGCAGGCTTCTCGGATGGTGGCGCAGAAACCAACCAAAGCAAGAAAATGAGAATTCCTACGTCACGCCATTGCCCATTTTCCAAACCAGAGGAGAAGTTGAGACATAGCTTGAAAAAAGATCCCATTTACTTCTGGAATTGACCTAAGACAATGGGGCAGGAAAAGTTGAAGGGAGGACAGCAAAATTCTCAGAATCGTCACAGTGTTGGTTCTGGAAGTGGTTTTAGAGACCCGAGTGCAGTTTCTCAGACGGGGGTCCACCCAGTCAGTAGAACAACTTTCTCGGAGTTGCACACACCCCTGCCGCGTAAGGGCTCTGGAATCGGGAAGACCTGAACTCCAGTGTGGGCGGCTCTCCTCCGCGCCTCAGTTTCCTCACCCGTAAAGTGAGGGCACTCAAGCCAGCCTCACGGGGCTGCTGTGAGGAGTGGGAGACTGTGACTAGCACACCTGGGGACAGCAAAGCCAGGACTAGGTCTCCCCCTAGACTCAGTCGAGTTACATTCCAAGTTAAAATTAAATGCAAATTAAATCGCCCCTCAATAAACCATTCTTATCCAATAGCTCGAAGGCCTCTACAGAGTTCCCAGGTCTCACTTATTCCTCTCGTTTCCACGGTCAGCAATCAGCCCTCTGAAGAGGAAGGACAGAGAGCTTGAGTGAAGTGCCAACCCCAGCTGTCCCCCCTCCTCTGGGAATAAACCCTCTGACACCTCCCATTCACTCAGTAAATAATAACAGGCAACACTGGAAGAGCCCTGCTGTGTGCCACTGTTTTAAGGGCCTTATATAAATTAGTCATTTAACCCTCACTGTAACCCTAAGGCGAGGACATTTTTATTATTATCCCCACTTGTCACATGAGAACGCTGAGGCGCCTGCTTAGGGTCCCACCATTGCCGCGGCAAAACTAAGATTTGAACCCCGAATTTATCCTTTTAACACCATGCTCTGCTGCACCCCTGTAACAACTAGCATGACACATACTCAAGATAGTTTTCTAAGGATTTTTTACATTTATTCATTTTATATTTCTTATAATAATCCTATCAGGTAAGTACCTTTCATTACCTATGTGTACAAATGATGAAACTGAGGCACAGAGAAGGACCGTGACCAGGTGGCGCATGCAGGATGTGAACCTGACATTCTGGCCCCAGACACCATGCGCTCTCCGTACCGCACCTGCCTCTCGGCATTAGTCACAGTGCCTACCATGGGCAGGCAGGTCATGCTGCTGGGGCTGTGGGAGTGACAGGCACAGAGTACAAACTATCACAGCCCTCAAATGGCTGACGGTCAAGTTGAGGAAATAAGACTCATCTATGAAAAGTTGAATGAGATAAATAAATTGCAACACATCCGCACTATGGAATACTAGTCAGCCATGAAAATAAACTTTCGAAACTTACAACAACATGGATGGAATTCGAAAGTGTGACACTAAGTGAAAGAAGCCAGGCCAAAAAGGAATGTATGATTCCATTTATATAAAATTCCAGAAAATGTAAACAAATCTATCATGACAGAAAGCAGACCGGTGGTTGCTTGGGGATAGGAGATGGGGATGGGGGGCTGTATTAAAAAGGGGCGTAAGGAACGCTCTGGGGTGATGGAAATGTTCACTGTCCTCATGGTAGTGACGGTTTTACAGGAATACGCCTATGTCAAAACTGTGCTGTTTCTTCTATTGTAAACTATACTTCAACAAAGCTGGCTTTAAAAATGAAAAATAAGAGGACTACAGGAGGGTGAAGAAGGCTTCACTAGGGCTGGGAATGCTTAGAGAGGCCTCTGGAAGGTGATCCTGTGACAGGTGGGAAGGACTTGGGAACAAGAGAAAGGAGGGGGCATTCCAGGTGGAGTACAGAGGAAGGAACATCCCTGTGGGCCAGGGGACAGTTGTAGAGGCCCCCCCTGCCCACCTCAGGAGGTTGCACTTAACTCCATAGGCAAGGGGCAGCCCTGAAGCTTTGTAGGCAGGACTCGCCCCCATGAGAAGAGAGTTAAGTAAGGACCAACATGCTGAGGGCAGCAGGGTGGAGGAGGGAGGGACTAAGAATGGGAAACCACCACGGCGGCGGCAGGGACCGCAGTCCCTGTGTTTCTGCAAGGGGCTGGGCCCAGGGCGCTGGCCGCGGAGACGCGAGCAGAGGGCCGGGTTGTGGGAACGTCTCCCATTTCCTCCGGCCTCTGGGCCCCGCCCCTTTTCTGCTCTTTACACTGATGGTGACGCCAAGAAAACAGCAAACCATGGGGTCTGTAGCGAGATTTTTAAACGGTGAAAGTGATGAGATAAGGAAAGAGAAGGTCATCGTTTATATATGTTTTGAGCGTTTTTTCTATCTTTTCAAAGAGACTTTAAAAAGAGTGTCTCTTTTGTGGGCTTCGGATATCTAAACTTAAGAATAATACAACTTTCTAACTATCCTGAGACTGGGTTAGCAGTCTCACAATAAATGACCAAAACCTCCTCCTCCAGGGATCTTCATTCCCCCAGGAAGCTTTAATGATGCCCACCTGAAGCAGGGGACAGACAGACGATAAGGCCCCTGAAAGAGCCCTTTCTGCCTAAGGCTGAGCTAAAAGCGCCAGTAGTATCTATAGGGGCTTAGACCTGCCAGACCATGCAGCAAGCAGGCCAGCAGATGGCGCTCCTGCATCAGCACAGGCCAACTCCAGGCAGCCGGGTCTCACCTACCAGGTTCCAGGGCCAGGATGTGACAATTACTGGGATAAGAGAACAGGTATGAGAGCTAGCTGGAGTTAAAGATTAAATCAAGATGACAACAGAACGGGCTGCAGAAAATATGGTAAGGGAACCTTGAAGTCTTCCAAGCTCAAGGTCAGAGAAGGGACACAAGCAAGGTGTACCACAGCTAAGGATTTGAGGGAGGATACAAATGAAATGCATAAGCACTGAGCCAGTTCCAGAACACCAGAGACCAGAGAGGGAAGGCAGGCTCCCGGCGCTAGGCTTCTGAGTGACGGCGCTCTAAGCTGAGCCGTGGTTGCCCAGCCCAGCGCCCCTGCCCCCAACGCTGAGACAGGGACGGCCAGTGCACAGCCTGGATCTCTTCTGAGCCGCTACAAAGGCTCACGTCTTCAGCGTGCACTTTGTAAGCTAAACAAGAGCTATGGAAACTGGTAAATATTTTGCCCTTCCAAAGTCACCACAAGAGATTTATATATACCCTGGTTTATTTCCCTGAAGAACCGTTTTCCAAGCTTTTTCAGTTTCAAAAAATTCATTTAATGAAAATAGTCTTCATATTAGATTTTTATTCTTACTCCGCCTTGAAAGTAAAAGCAGCAATTGCAGGTGGCTGGATATTTGTTTTATCCATCTAAACTATATTTTCCGAAATAACTAAAACTGGCTGTGTTCCCCTCATAGTTTCTGATTCATTTTATGTTACTTGATTTTAAAATGTATTTGTAAGACTGTTTCTATGTCAAAAATATTGCACTATTCGGAAGCATCTTTTATGACTTGAATATATATATTCCAATGTGTTGGACTGACGATGAGGGAGCAGTGAAAGAGGAAACAGAGTCAGAGAGGAGGAATGAAGGAAAGGAGGAGAGACACACTAAGAGACAGAATTCATAAGCTACCTATTTTCAGCGCCCCGCATTCATATATAGCTGACATTCAGAGCCAGAAATGTTTTGCAAACTTGATCTGCCTTCTCAGAATGTCAAGGAAAAGGGTAAAGACCATTCCTGCCTCCCTCTGACAGTCTCTTACCACTACCAGTAAAACCAGTCTGAAATTGCCACTGGGTGCCGGTACCACGTGTAAACAGTACACATCGTTGGAGCCCAGTGGGAGTTCAGGAGCTGTGCAAATCAGGAAGAACAACGTAAAGTTTCATCAACGTGTTTGGGAATACTGTGGTACAGGCAAAGTTACTTAAGTTGGCAAGTGGAAATACAGCAGTCGAGCATGAGGCGGCTTCCCTCCTAGTTTATCTGTTCCACCATGAGAATAAATAGGATCTACTGGGATTGAGCCCAGCAACAAAACAGCAGATGGAGCCACCCAAGTAACAGCATAATGCATGCCCATGCTGACCTGGACGCTCAGTTAGCTCAGAGGTTAGCTCACTGTTCCAATGAGTTCAATGGCAGGGTTAGGACACTATGGGATGACCTGGTGTAGTGAATAGGAATATCAATTTTATCACCTCATACCCTCTGAGCCTCAGTTTTCTCATCCATTCAATGGAACATGTAATAATGACTCTACAGAGCTTTGGGGAAATCAAATAAAATGGTCCATTTCCTGGCTTACAATGTCAGGGATAGAATAGCGTAGTTACTAAAATCGTTTTCTCATTCCCCAGGTTGGTTAGCTAGCCTTACCATGAGTTCTAGTTGTGATTAAACATAGTGGTAAGTCACCAAACCTGGTCCGCTTAGTGATAAAAGTCCTCCTTGGTGATTATGGAGATGTTAGGTCTTAAGTACAGCTCATGATCACAGAACACGTTCTTCTTTGCTAGAAGCCAAATGTGCTTCTCTCTCCACCATGCTCTGGGTCATGCACATGTGTGCAGACACATGCTGACCCAGGGCCTACAAATATACATGGTGTCCACTTTGAAGGGTTATGACTGCCCTCTTAGGAAAAGATGGGGGAGGACGCTTTCAAAATGTACTCAACAACTCTTATAACTTCTGCAGGGCTAAAAGAATTGATGACTTCCAAGCAAATCAGCTCTCCACCCCACCCCCCAAACCCCCCAAAAAAACAAGCAAAAGGGCAATCTTATATGTCAGAAAGAGCAAACTCTTTGGGGTCAGAATAACTTCCGACTCTGAGTCTAACTCCCAGTTCCATCACTTACAAACTGTGTCCATGGCAAGGTCCTAAGCTCTCTGAGACTTGGTTTTCTCACAGAGGTTTTGTGAGAATTTATGAGATGATGTAAGATATCTAGCATGTTCTGTGAAATCCCAGTCCAAGGGAGTGCTGGGTGAGCACACGCGTGCACGCGCACACACACTCACTCATCCACCACACAGACAAGTCCCACAGTCAAATAAGTTTGAGAAGCGAAAACCCTCTCCAGTATTTATAATGTACATTAGTCCATTAAAAATTCCAGAGTCCTGCAATAAAAAACCTGTTTGACTTGTTTAGCCAGTGTACTTTAAACGCTCTTGCCCACAGGTAACTGTTAATACCTCGCAAAGCACACCTCTGAATAATGTTGAAATAATGAATATCTAGTGCCTAGTACAATGCAAGGTAAATAATATATATGGCATATTAATAATGGCATATGGTATAATACACATGGTATCTTAATAACGGTAGACATCCTCATACAAAATATTATTTTCCCAAACCTTGGGTTCCTATAGCATTCTGCTTACATGAATATAATGGTAAAAATAGTAGTCATAGGAGTAATGTGTTGTTAACACAGTATTAACAGTTTGGTGTTTGATCACACAACTAGTACATGACACACTCAGGATTTGACCTGAGATCTAACTCCAAAGCCACTATGTCACACTGCTTCCCTACCTCTCAATGGCTCTCTTAAGAGTTGCCCCCTGCTGCCAGAGTCGGGAGGGGCCAATCACTGGTGAACTCTGCATCCTACTGACCCCAGAAAGAAGCAGCCCCATGGGGGTAAGAGGCCAGGGCTCCTACCTGGTGCCGGACTCCATCCTCGCCAACACACTGGGTGCAGGCCTCCTCGGGGACACAGTTGCCTTCCAGCATGACTTGGTGTGAGGGGCAGAAGCAGCCTTCTGAGGGGTGGTCCCCACAGGAGCTCGTATTACCCTCACAGTGCCGGGGGCAGCCATGCTCACAGTGGTTGTACACCAGGGACGGTGGGCACGACATGGCTGCAGACAGAGAAGGAAATCACTCAAGATGGCTCACACCAACCAGAGGAGAACAGAAGCACAGCTAGCTCAAGGCAGTTGACTGTCTGACAGACTCGCTGGGGGAGAGATGGCTAGTTTCCACCAATTTTCATTTCCCCCATCTTCACCCAGAATAAAGACCACATTTCCCAACTTTCCTTGCAACAAAGTGCAGTGTCGTAACACAGTTCTGACCAATGAACTGTAAGAGGAGGCACAGAATCCTATAGCAGCCTCCAGGGATCTTTTTAAAAAGACAACTATGCATGCCTTTGTCCCTTTTCCGTCCTTTCCCCATTCTGCTTCTTGGAACCTGGACGTGATAACTAGAGCTCCATCTTAAACCATAAGGAAAAACACACCCAAGTGAGGGCAGAGTGAAAAAGCTGGAACCCAGTTTGAGGCCCAGAAATAGCTAGAGCCACTTCCTTCTCTTTAGCTGTGTGACAGAGGATTTTATTTCTGTTACTTGCAGCCAATTTAATCCTAACTAATGTGGACCTGTGTGTCCTTAGGAAGTTCTAGAGATCTTTCTTTTCAATACATGTATATTTAATATTTAAAAAGTCCCCTTAAAATAAAGAATCCACAGCTATGAAGAGCTGGCTGGAGAGAGAAGTTATAAAGTGATTCACTTCCCCCATTCTGGCCCTGCTCAACCCCTTCCTCGGGTTCTCATGGTGCCAAGGCAGGTGGCAGAGAAGGTCTCCAAGTATTTAGAGCACCAAAGGTTTTCCTATATATGCACAATAAATAACCAGGAGGTAGAAAAGAAATTCATAAGCAGGGAAGATGCTGTCGGTAATACAGACACTGACATTTGCCCCTTGATCTGCAGGCAGATTGAAAGGAGGCAGTATCAGCCACATGCACCCATAAAATCAGAGCTCAAAGGAACCTTGGGGTTGCCTAGTCCAACTACCTCATTCTAAGATGCAGAAATTCAGATCCATAAAGACTAAGAGAATAGCCCATCACCAGCTGAGCTGGAACCAGGATGCCCAACCCTCCAGTCCCAGTTTACAGCTGCTGACAGCTCTATGAGAATAAACTCTGAGGCTCCAAGATGCTTGTACATATTGATTTCCTTCAAAAAAAAAAAAAAGTAAGGGATTATGTTGGTTAATTGAGAATGTTAGAGTTCAGTGTTTTTAATGCTCCAGGACTCCCCAAAGGCAGGAGCCATATCTGGTTCATTTTGGTATCCTCTACATGTTAAAAGAGAAATAAATGCCAAGTCTAAGCAGGAAAGCTGCTCTTGAAGGGAAGATATCTACACTAGCAATCCTATAGTCTTTATAATTAAGAAGCTCTTGGTATTCAAATGGCAGAATTCCACTCACACTTCAAAATTTTTCTTAGGCATGGCCTACTTGAAGAGGCTTTGCTAAAGCTTGGTGGGTTCACAAATTCAATGTGACTGAGTACTCTGTACTTTGCTGATATGTGTCAAATATATTAAAATCATATCTGTCTGAGTAGAAATGATCGTGAATTTCAATATAAAATTGAAATTCTACATTCAAATTGTTTATATATCCACCATCTTCTTTGATCCTAACCAGAACCCCAGGTAGTAAGAAATGCAGGATTTCGATCTTCATTACTCAAGTTAAAAATCTGAGTCCCAGAGAAGTTGAGCAAGCCCTCAATGACAGTAAATCATTATTCACGTTTCTTAGGGGTTCTTACAGATACTCACGACAAAAATCAGTTGTCCTCCAGTCAACACAGACCCCATTGTTCCGACAGAGGTGGGCATAAGAGGCAATTGCCTCACACACTTGCTCCTGGTGACAACTATCCTGCTGACAGATGTCATAAAACGTGGTTGGAGCAAGGACCTTGTGGCACTCAGCAAACAGTGCCGAGAGGAGGACCTGGCAGTGGGAGCTGCTGGACACAGGACACTGCTCCTCAGCCACAGGCTGGCACAACCTCCCCGGCTGCTGTGCAGTCCATTCCTGGATGAGTGTTTTCCAGTCTGTGGTGACCGTGCCATCCTTCAGCATGAAGTCATTGGCTCCATTCTCATCACAGGTTCCTATGGAAACAGGGAAAGACAATGTTGGTAGGTGTGGGTACCAACACATTGACACTGGAGACCTGGCAATTCTCCACCCCCACCAGTGTTTGAATCTTACTACTAGACCCAGAAATACAAGCATCCAAGAGTCCTGAGAGTAGAGCAAGGAAGGTTTATAAGTATAAAACAGGGGAGTCAAGAAGAAGTTCTTACCACAGAGACCATACATCTTGGAAGCAAAGGTCCTTGGGCTAAGCTGCAGCTGGAACTCATTGTTTTGTGGAGTAAATGTGAAGATGTGGCCTAGACGATGGAATCTGATCTCATACATGATAGCACCGTAGATGTTGACATCCATGTCCTCAGCCACGTAAGGGACAGAGACCAACCTCCCATTCACCCCCACCTGCCCAAAGAAGAAAATGACGCATCAGTTATCACAGCAGTAAGGAATCCTGGAATTTCACTCTCAGCTTCTTCCTGAAGTTACTGACAGTCCCCAACGTTCGCCACACTCAACTCCAGTGTCATCCACAAACCCTGATATTTATCGGCAGCTTTTCTAAGATAAAGGAGCTTTGCCGAGCTTGGTGGGGGAACAGGCTATAATGATACTGTACAGAGAGCCATGCACCTGGAACCTGAAAGCCGTGGGTTAAAGTGCACCTCGAACCTTGACTCTGCGTGCACTCCACAGGGAGGACAACCCGGGAGAGGCTGAAAAATTGCCATTTTGCCAGCTCATCAGGTCAGTGTCTCCAGGAACATCTAACAACCTGGACTATTCCAAGACTTTTCTTTACTTTTTCTTTTTCCCTTTTTTTTCTTTTTTTTTTTTTTTTTTTTTGAGGGTCATTAGAAGCTCTTTGGAGGACCCACCGTACATCATATCGAACATGTTACAAATATGTTAAGATGTACTCACATCTCACAATGAAAATAATTTTTGCTGTAAAAACTTTAGAAGCCTATTTCTCCTTTTAATTTAAAATGTTTTGGCTATGAGTTACTCATTTAATATATGACTAGCTATGATTGTTTAGCAATTACTGGTGCATATTCAAGAATTCTTGCAAAATGAGATCTAACCTATAGGTTGTTTGCACATAATAAAATATTTATGATTTCTAAATGAGCAAGAAAAGAAGTTGGCATAATATAAGCTTTGTAAACATTTAATCCAACATTTATTTAAATCAGTCTAGCAGTTTTCTTTTTGAATTTTGGAGCCATACTTTTTAGTTAGGCCCTTAATATCTCTCTAAAGGCCCTGATTTAGGCACTAAATATTTTCCTTTGGAACTCTCACGGCCCTGGGCGCTGGGCTTATAATCCCGCTGGGTGAACAGCACTGGTGTCAACCGCAGTTTTCTACCAGTGCCAAAAACTGGCACTAAATTCACAATTTAATGCTACCTAAAACTGGTACCAAATCGGGGCCCAGAACAACATGAAATCATACCAAAATGAGGGAGATGGTAATGAGCCCCTCCTAAGTGGTTCTCTACTAGCTAGGAAGAAAGCTGAGTCCCTAACAGAAGGACCGGCTAACACCAACTGCCACCAGGGCCATGTGGCTTTCTCAAGGTCTGCTGCTGCCTTGCCATGAGACCCACAGAAAGCATCTCTCACCTCCATGTCGCTGTGGAGCTCAACTGAGAGACCATTATGTTTCACCTCAATGGATTTCATGCAGGCCTGCCGTGCTCCAGGGCTGCAGGCTCCATTATGGAGAATCACCTCCAGGTCCTGCTCCTTGTTTTGAAACAGAACATATGAACAGCTGCCAGTCAGCTTGAAATTCTGCCCATCAAAGGTCACGATGTGCCGGGTAGAGCTGCCCATGCACACACCTAGACAGGGGAGAGCGAAGGAGAGATGTGACATTACCCAAACTCTCATACATGTAAAGAGGCAATGTTACCAAGTTATATGTAGGTGAGTTGAAAGTTGAACGGGCCCTTTGAAATCCTATAGTCTAATCTCTTCCTTTGTGCAGATCAGGAAACTGAGATTCTGTGAGGTAGAGCAGCTTAGATAAGTAACACATTAAATATTTTCCTAGAGAAGGTTTAGAAGGACAAGTATTACATAAAAATGTGGCAAATTATAGAATTGTATTTCTGAAAAATTTTAATGTGCGAAGTGAATGCTCTACTCTACAGGGATGCCTTGGCCCAGGAAACAAAATTCTAGAGGTGTCTGACTCATTGAAATCATGAGAAGCTAAGCAAACCATGAGCTCACGATCTCATTGTAAAGAAAGTTCACTTAAAGACACATGTAACCTTTCAGCTGCCAAGTGACTAACGGTACAAGAGCCATGTTGACTTGATTCCTTAAGAGATCTCACACAAGAAATATTTCCAAAGCCAAAACAAATTGTTAGGTCTCAGCACTACCTCATTTGCCACTCATTCATTCACATAATCAGCAAATTCTCAAGGTTCCTATTAAAACACCATCTAGGAATACTAATCACTTTTCATCTATATAAGATGATGCATTAAAAATTCCCTCATGGAAGGCACCACGGCCACACGTGATTTGAAAGCTGATGGTGGACCTAAATGAAGTTGGAGATGAGCTTTTCCAACAAACCATGACCCTATCTACAGTGGTGGGTAAATAAAAGCCCAAGAACTGAGAGGCATTTCAGTGAGTCGGTGAGGCCTCAGTAACGTTCCTCACTCATAGGCAGGCCTGGGCAATCTCCACCTGCATGAGTGACCTGTACATCAAGGCAACACAGCCAGTGACAAATGATGGGTCTGGATACACCATCTGTCAGAGCTGAGCAGCCTCTTCGAGAGCTCTTCCACCCAAAATCCTCTAAGTCACTGGGCAGTTGGTCATTTCCAAGGGACTGTACTGAATGCTGCTGGCCATGCTTTAAGTGACCCCAAATACTGCAGCTATGAATACTGTCAAGTCGTAAGGCATCTAACCCCAACTGCTAGGAGAATGTAATAAGTCACAAGGCAATTGTGTTATCCCACAATTGACAAGTTAGTGAGAATGGCTCTGCCCACTATAAGATAAACTACTACTGTGAAATGGGTACTTCAGAGGCAGAGAAACTCAGGATGGAATTCTATTCCACTCCTTGCTTGCACTGTGACCTTAGATAAATTATTTCACTTCTGTGAACCTCTCTTATCTCCTCTGCTCTCTTTGAAGTGATGGGGAGGATTCCAGGATATATTTTTAATTTTAAAAGCAAAGTTCATTTGTAAAGAAAGATAAACTAGAAATGAATGACATCGGTTACCTTCAGGGAATAACAGGTAGGGATGAGTAGAAAGGACGGGGGAAAGAGAGGAGGGACATTTCTGAGAACAGTTGCTCCTCAACTTACAGCAGGGTTAAGTCCCAATAAACCCATCATGAGTCAAAACTGCATTTAATACATCATCTAATATACTGAACATCATAGCTTAGCCTGGCCTACCTTGAATATGTTCGGAACACTTACACTAGCCTACAGTTGGGCAAAACCATCTAACACAATGAATACACTGTAAGGTACCAGTTGTTTACCCTCATGATCGCGTGGCTGACTGGGAGCTGTGACTCGCTGTGATGCCCAGCATCACAAGAGACTATGTACTGCGTGTCATTAGCCCAGAAATAATCAAAATTCAAAGTACAGTTTCTACTGACTGTTTATCGCTTTCACACCATTGTCAAGTCGAAAAATCATTCAGTCAAACCATTGTAAGTTGAGGGCTGTCTATATACCTGTCTGTAATGTTCTGACATTTAGAACCAAGGTAATGCTTCACAATACAAAAACAAATAAATTTTAAAAATCAGCTATGATGGGTATGAGGGAAATCCAAAACGGAATACAATTAGAAAGAAATTAAACTAATGGTAATGAATAAGATGACCACACTGAAGGAGAGGGTAAGTCTTAATAACTCTGGGAAAAAATTCCTATATATTCCAAGACTAAAGACAAAATGAACCATATACAAATATTGTAGTCTGGTTAGTAGATTTGTTTTTCACAAAAGTATTGGTTAGCAATTCTGAGACAACTTTTTGTATATTCTGGGATTAAACCAATATATAAATATATTGTGGATAATGATCCAGGCTTCTGTCTGAGAAAGGAAGAGATGTGACATGTCAACAGGACACAGGAACCCGACTGAAAAGGCCCCCAGAGGTCAAATCTGGGACCATCTGAGCAAGAAAATAAATAAAGCTAGTAATTAATTGATCATTATGTGGCAAATATCACAGTAAAAACTGCTTCAGAAAAGGATCATGAATGCATACTAAACTTAGAGGGTAAAAGTACATTTCTATAGTTTTAAAGTATCTCTGCACATGATAATTATTAAATGCAAGGAGGAAAATCATAACTTTGTAGTGAAAAAATCTGGTAAACACCACCTTAACCAAGTGACCAAACTGAATACCACTGGAAATGGGACAAATTGATGTCATGAGCCTCCTCCTGAAACACCAGAAAAGATCTGGTGTCCTCTGGGACATTCTTGACAAAAATGTACAATCCGAATTTAACCCAAATTGAGGGATATTCTACAAAATTACTAGCCACACCTTTTCAAAACATCAAGGTCATAAAAACCGAAGAAATTCTAAGGAATTGTTGCAGATTTAAGGAGACTGTGGAGACATATAACAAGTAAATGCAATGTGTCATTCTGAGTGAAATCCTGCAGCTGAAAAAAGACTTTAGTGGGACAATCGGCAAAAACTGAATAAGATAATAGTATTTTATCAGTGTTAATTTCCTGATTTTGATCATTGTACTGTGACTAGATAAGATATCACACTCTGTGTGAGGTATACAGGGATTCTTTGTACTATTTGTGCAACTTTAAGTGTGAAATTATTCAAAACAAATGTTTTTTGTTTTTTTTTTAAATAGCCAATATCTAATTATGTCATTCCTGAAGGCTATCAGTCATTTTAAGAATATTAAAGGAGTCACGGAGGTATTGATGTAAGACTCACTACTGTGTTGTGAGTCTTACATCCCCACATGCCCCACCAGCGACACCCAAATCTAGAGAGCAAGACTTTCAGGAGGCCACTCCCAGAGATGGGTTTCTGTTCCATGCAGTTATGGGGAACACTGGACCAGTGTCTGAAGAATCTAAAAGACAGAAGCTATTGCTATTGGCCAGAGGTAACCAGGCAGCGAGAGAGAGACTTGCTTCTGTTGTGGGAATTAGGTGCACTCCACTCCAATGGTGGGACAAAGGGGCATGAGTCCTAGAGACTGGATATAGGACCTACAGAAGGAATGATGGCCCGGGGCTGTTCTAAAAGTGACCCTAAGAGAACTTCCGCTATGGGCAAGGAGAACCCCGAAAGAGAGAGAGAGAGTCTATAAGGGATTGGATGCAAACAAAGGGAGAAGCACCAGCCAGCCAAAGGATATAGACTGCTTCTTGCACCCCAAGATTGAGAAGCAGAGGAATACAGCAAGGGAACCTCTTAAGAAATCTTCAAATGAGCTGGCGAGAAAAAGCTGCCTTAAACACATGCCAGGCCAGAGAGTGAAGAGACCTCTCGCAGAAGCAGCAGTCACCACCTAAGAACCCTCTGGACCTCCTTCCAACTCCCCTTTCACCATGCTCCACGCTGGCAATAAGTTAGCCTCACCCCTTTCTCAGAGGCAGATAGCCCAAACCAGGCTTGGGGAGGTGTTTTAACTCTAATTCAAAGTCAAAGTCTTAAATGTTACATAGGAGTGGGCATCTAATTACCAAATCGAGATTGTTTTATGACTTAAAGTGACCACAGAACTCGCTATAGATAAACAGAAGTGACATGAAGTTCTTGTAGAGTTCTCATCCAACCCAGGGAGAAAATTTATCCAGCTAAACAAATTCTAAAAGGGGGAGTGAGATATAAAACACAGTCTTTATTGCACCTTACAAGTTGTGTCTGCTCAACATAATAATTGTGATCTATCTACTACTGAGTAGAGATTATCATAAGCAACCATTTCTCCCAACCATGAGCCAGAGGACTAACCCACTCCCACAGACAAATGCTCTCCATGGGTTTGTATGAGATGGAGTTGACTATGTCCTCCTCTTAAACCAGGCCACTGCGATGCT